CTCTCCGCAGGGTTCTGGAGGGTTCATGGGAATTTGCCCAACCAGTCTACATGTGTTTTGTGGACTTGGAGAAGGCATTCGACCGTGTCCCTCGGGGAGTCCTGTGGGGGGTGCTCCGGGAGTATGGTGTGCCGGGCTGCCTTTTAAGGGCTGTTCAGTCCCTGTATGACCGGTGCCAGAGTCTGGTCCACATGGGCAGCAATAAGTCGGACTTGTGAGGGTTGGACTCCGTCAGGGCTGCCCTTTGTCACCGATTCTGTTCATAGTTTTTATGGACAGAATTTCTAGGCGCAGCCAGGGCATTGAGGGTGTCCGGTTTGGTGACCTCAGGATTAGGTCTCTGCTTTTTGCAGATGATGTGGTCCTGTTGGCTTCATTGCACCGTGACCTTCAGCTCTCGCTGGGACAGTTCGCAGCCGAGTGTGAAGCGGCTGGGATGAGAATCAGCACCTCCAAATCTGAGACCATGGTCCTCAGCCGGAAAAGGGTAGAATGCTCTCTCCGGGTTGGGGATGGGGTTCTTCCCCAAGTGGAGGAGTTTACGTATCTCAGGGTCTTGTTCAGGGATGATGGAGCGGGAGATCGACAGGCGGATCGGTACGGCGTCCACAGTGATGCGGGCGCTGCGTCGGTCTGTCATGGTAAAGAAGGAGCTGAGCCAAAAGTCGAAGCTCTCGATTTACCAGTCGATCTACGTTCCTACCCTCACCTATGGTCACGAGCTGTGGGTAGTGACCGAAAGAACGAGATCGCGAGTGCAAGCGGCCGAAATGAGTTTCCTCCGCAGGGTGGCTGGGCTCTCCCTTAGAGATAGGGTAAGGAGCTCGGTCATTCGGGAGGGACTCCACATTGAGAGGAGTCAGATGAGGTGGCTCAGGCATCTGATTAGGATCCTGGACGCCTCCCTGGTGAGGTGTTCCGGGCATGTCCCATTGGGAGGAGGCCCCGGGGAAGACCCAGGACACGCTGGAGGGACTATATCTCTCGGCTGGCCTGGGAACGCCTCGGGATTCCCCCAGAGGAGCTGGATGAAGTGGCCAGGGAGAGGGAAGTCTGGGTTTCCCTGCTGAGACTGCTGCCCCCGCGACCCGACTCGGATAAGCGGGAGATAATGGATGGATGGATGGATGCACACACCTTAATAAAATTTTGTTTGGTCCAATTCCAAGCCTCTTGATTCCTCCACTGCATCAATACCTGGAAATCTCTATGGAAACAAGCAGACAATTTAGGCAGGGTGAGTATACTTGGATGTAACCACCCTTCATGATAAAACATGCTTCATAGTCAGACTACACAGGCATGTCTGTGGAGGTGACACTGACTAACAGTTTGAGTGAGTAAGGAATTGGTGCAGACAGAATCAAACTCCTGTGGCAGTCATCTTGAGTCTGTGTACACTAGGGGTGTGCAAAGCAGCCGGTATTTGTATCTGTATTTGTATTTGTTGAGGGGGGAAAAGTATTTGTATTTGTATTTGTATTCGTATTCGAGTAAAATTCAAAATAGGCATAAAAATCCAGTTTTTTTGCGTTGCACTTCTAATTTACGTTATAGTGTAAGTATTCTTTAATTATAGCCATTATAATAATTATGGATATGCAGTAGACAGAGTAACTTAAACGTACCATATAACTCGTATAAGTGCATACAATTCGACACAACTACACAAGCATTG